CTCCATATGGTTACTGATCATCATTGTGATGACGCACAGAGCACAACAGCTTTGTCCTATTGAAGTTCAAACGTATTTGGAGTTACAATGACTTTACGTTTCTAGATCCATAGAAAATAAATTGGTAATTGTTTTTAAAATATAACCTAATTTTCAACGGGCCCTACGGACCTACTTCCGGGATTTTAAAAGCCCCCCAAAAGAAGACAACACAAAAAATAAAAAAAATTTTCCCCCCCCCTTTTTTTTTTCCCCCCACAAAAAACCCGGCCCCCTTTTAAAACCCTTCCTATTAAAAAAAAATTTTCCCCCCCCCTTTTTTTTTTTGGGGGGGGGGCCCCCCCCCCCCCCCCCCTTTTTGGGGGAAAAAAAATTTTTTTTTTTTTTTTGGGTGGGGGGGGGGGGGGCCGGGGGGGGGGGGCCCGAAAAAATTGAAAAAATTTCGACTCGGGCAGGACTTGAAACGGCATCGTCAGCGTTCCGAGCTATTGTTCTAGTCATGGTACAATTTAGCAAAAAGCGACATCCTTGTTGGTCTAATGGTAGCGATGTATGGCTCATGATCAAGTGGGTCGTGGTTCGATCCCCACCAGGTCCAACGTGTTTCTAATTGTTCAATTTATATTTTTTTCGGAACATGTTGGACATCGTCTGGAAACCTGGATATTAAATGGGTGGCAGGAATATAGAAATTCCGGTCAGAAATTAGGGTCACGAACCACCGCCCATAGGTGAGAAAACCGTGAAGCTTAATCACGTTTCGATTTCAGTCTGTGGATTTCCGAATATCCAAAGGCAAAATAGTTCGACAGCGCGTCTTGTTTAGATGCTATAGGCTGGGGTATATCACCTACCATCAAGGAAACCCCATGCCATGTATGTCCTGATAGAAGATCATTAAAAAAAGTCCTCCTATGAGAAACATCCACAGATATGCGTATAAATATGTCGACTTCCTCGTCAAGATATCAAACAAGAGTGCGAACAGAAGCAATTAAAGCATCTGCCAGATTGCTCTGTGCCTAGGTCGAGTAATTGGTATCCAGATGAGACTGCACTTAGTACAGAATTTTTAGATTGAATAATCGCTTGTTAATTTGCCAATCTCGATACTGTCTGTAGTTTACGCGAGTAGTACACATTTACATAAAACACTTTAACGGTTTAAAACGCGATGTATTAGTTAAACTTATTTGGACATGATTTTTAACTACGGCCTGACGTTTCAGATTCTTTGCAGCAGCCGTGGTCACGTGGTGACGTTTAACTAATATATATTGCGTTTTAAACTGTTAAACTATTTTATTTAAAGTCAATTTTGTCGCTGAAACAGCTAGTAATATATAAATAGATAATGTTCTGTACGTTAATAATAATAAATGCCATGATGAAAAAACCCTAATCTTAAATACTCTGTACAATAAGATATTGACATATATCAGTCTCTTTCATAGACCGAATTTTTTAAACAGAGCAGTGCTCTGCATAGAATCTAATCCAGGACTGTTTATAACCATTGAGTCACAATAAACACAAGTGCATTAAAATTTGTTCAGCCGTTTTCCAGCCAGTTTCTCTTCCCGACTCTAACTTATCTTAGTGTCTTTCTGTAAAGTATAAAATTTTAACCAATAAATTACTAACTGAAAAAAATCATGATGCATTAAATCTCAGTCATTAAAACTTTTCAAACAGCAAAGCCCCGAGTGTCAACTGAAACATAATTAAAAGAAAAAACCCCCCCGCCGGTTTTTTTTGGAAAACCCCGGGGACCCGGGGGGCCCCCGGAAAAAATTTTTTTCCCCGGGGGAAAAAGGGGTTTTTTGGGGGAAAAAAAAAGGGGGGTATTAAAATTTTCCCCCTTTTTTTCATTTATATTTGGATCAATCTTAGACTGAAACTAATTAAAACAAACGGTAAGAGAAAAAACCTTAACTCGGCTGCACGTTTGACATGAATTAAACTGGCACGTCGAACCAGTGCGACTAGATGATTAAGACATACGTTTCTATCATTAGACCAAAGAGCCTGTCTAGCCGTACTAGCGGTTGATTTTTTTTTTTTTTTTTCTTTTTTTCATAATTTTTTTTTTATTAAAGATTTAAGATTTTTAAAAATTACGACACGAGCTGGACTCGAACCAGTATTCACAGCTAACGTCTGTAGATTTGTTAAACTACCTCTTTCAATTATTTTTTTTTACAGAATAGTGTTACATACTACGTCATTCATACACATTTAAAAATAGAACTTTTTAAATTTTTGAACAATTCGTTATTCGTTGTTTATTTTTAAATTTCGACCAAGTAGTCGTATAATAAATACAGTCTATAGTTTATGCGAGTAGTACACATTTAAATAAAACACTTTAACGGTTTAAAACGCGAAACATTAATTAAACTTATTGGGTCACGGGGACCACGGCTGCTGCAAAGCATCCGAAACGTCGGGTCGAAGTTAAAAATAATTTTCAAATAAGTTAAACTAATATATCGCGTTTTAAACCGTTAAAGTGTTTTAAATTTTAGTGGTATTTTAATGAATTTTAAAAATGTGTTTTAATTTAAAAAAAGGCACAAAGCATTGCTTGATAGATAGATAATACTTCTTGTTTAGAACTTACTATAGATTATATTTTTAATTAAATATCTTTTTTACTTATAGTCTGTAAATGTGCAAGACCAGAAACTCGCTAAGAACCTGATTCCAAACATAGAGCGAATCGAATGGGAAAGTGATAGATTTTCACTCATTCCAGTTCCTGTACAGTTTTTGTTATCACTTTAAATTCTTATCGTGTTTAAACGGTTTCTAACTTGTTAATTGGTTTTATCTATTAAAAAACTGTTGACACTTTAAATCCAGGAAAGGCGTTAGGTCCTAGGTTAGAATTCCAGGAAATCAAAATTATATATAAATAAATAGTAAGTAAGAATCTTTCAGTGAAATAGACACAAAAATGTGTCCGGCCCATGTAGGGCAAACGAAATTTTCCTCTATTCGCCAAAATCAACTTCGACAGAACAGATTGCGCAGCAACAGATTGACTTTGACGTCAAATGTACCCTCCATCTTTAGTCACCCCGGGACCATGGCTGCTGCAAAGCATCCGAAGCGTCGGGTGATATTGAAAATAATTTAATAGAGGTTTAACTTATATATAGCGAGTTTTAAACCGTTGAAATGTTTTATTTAAATGTCTACTACTCTCGTAAACTACAGACAGTATATGGGGTTTTAATTTTCAATTTCTGACCGCCTCTGTAGCCAAATGGTTAAACGTATCGCTTAGCATTGCGTTAAGCGTGAGAGGCCCAGGACGGGTTCGAATGCCAGGGAAACATGAAATTGTTTCGGTCAGGCGGGGCACAGAGGTCTGATCAACTACTTGCCCGTTAAAAGAACGGATCAGTGAAACAGATACAGAAATGTGTTCGCCCCATGCCCCACGAGGGGGAAACGGGCTTTTTCACACACACTTTTTAATTACATTGTATTACTACAGCAATTGCTCACTTTCTTTCACGTTTATGGAAAAACGTTTTTCTTAACAAGATCAATTAACAATGTTGCCTGTTTCAGTAATTTTCCGTTTAAGGCAATTGTATAATCGTACCTTGAAATTGAACATAGAACATTTATTTATTTATCTTGTTTATTTATTCTAACAAAATAATTGCGTTTTACGCATGTCGGAAACGTTTCCTGAAAATATAAATAATTTTCCATAAACGGACATTGGACATGCGTAAAAACAAATAGCAAATGCGTTCCCCAAGGGGAGAGAAATAATGTCTATTTTGGGCGGAACATTTTCAGTTACAGTCTGCGTCCCGCGGGCGGCGCGCATGTCGCCATCTTGTCGGCCATTTGTAAAAAAGCAGTTCCTATTTTAAATCACGTTTAGCAACATGCCTGAAAATCCTGCAAACACTGTATCGGGAGTTAACATTAAAGTAAGAAATGTTAAAACCATTCTTGATCTTTTAATAAGGTGTCAACGCTGCAAAGCAATTGTTTTATTGTGAAATCTAAATATAATACTAACAACGAATACTTAAGTCTGTACTTCACGCGAGTGGTGCAAATTTGTATAAAACAGTTTTAACGGTTTAAAACTCGAAGGTTATTTAACTTGTTAACTTATTGTGGTGCAAATCATCCGCAACGTCGAAAAGTTACAATACTTTGTAAATAAGTTAACTTATACATTTTTCGTTTTAAACCGTCAAAAGCGTTTTATTTAAATGTGTAGGTACTTACACGTGAACTACCGTAATCTCTTAAATATTTACTTAATACGAGTACTGTTAAACTTAACTAGCAATTTGAAAATAAAATGCAAAACTGTAAATAGTTTAACTATTTATATGAATAACGTCTATATAAGAGCTTAATCAAAGTATACAGTATGATCTACTATATGTAGGTACACAGCTATATGTAGACATTGCGAGGCTTCTATTCGCATGCTAATCCCGTAACGTTTGTAAACTGAATTAATACATAGCAACAGAAGAAGCGAGATATTATAGATCCGATTTCAAATAGCTACAATATACACATAGCCAATATATGTTAGAGCTATTGCAGTGACTTTGAATTGCACAAATGGTGGAAAGCATGCGAGACGTCACAACGTAGTTAAATAAGTTAAATGTCATAATACATATAAATAAGTTAAGTGAAAATATTATAATTCGCGTTTTAAACCGCTAATAGAGTTTTATTAACTACACCCGTTATAACTCACATCCAAAGTATAGGTTTTTATGTTATGTTTGGTTCACCTCGATTACCTCTAAAAACAGAGTTTGATTTTAAGGAATTTCCCGGCTAACCCCCCCCACCCCAACTGCAAAAAACAATAAAATGCACGCGCTTTACAACATACTTAACTACATTATACATTTTTCTTTAAGGGATCGCAGTACATAAAACAGATGATTACCTATATAATAAAGCATAAATAAAAATTCAATTTATATATATTGTTACAGAGCTCGCAAAATCGTCTTTTGATCAAAAATGGTCGTGTTGTCAACGACGATGGAATGGAAGATGCTGATGTCTATATTGAAGATGGAATCATCAAGTGAGTATTTTTAATCCATTAATGTTATTTTTATCTTTATTGCATAATTGTGTCTTGGAACCGAAAAATAAAATCGAATGGCAACCTTTTGAAAATTTTCTTCAACTGTTTTAACCATTTCGTAATTTTTTTGTCGGGTTTTTGTTTTTAAGAACATTAATATAAAAAAAATGTGTTTAAAGCCCATATTTCCTGTATATTATTATCACATAATTGATTTCAAAGAGGCTTACCAACTAAATGCAGAATGAAAGCTCATAATAAAATACAATTTAATATAAACTATGCTATGGGGCAAACTGGGAGTACAACCTCACTTTACAAAACCTTTTAGGATAAAATATAAGTTATTTAGTTAGAACAGGATAAACATATCGTTCGTGTCAGCCTGTGAAAGAAAATTGAAAATAAGTAAAAAACTTCTGCGGTCCCATTTATGTATTAATACGAGATACATTTATAGAAAGTCATAGTTTATATGTAATTTTATTCATTAAAATAAGTTAAATAACATTTATGAACGGGGAAGACTGACAACAGACGAGTTCATTCGTGAAGATGCACTGTGGACCTATTTTACGATTAAAGCCGGAATTTAATTAGTTTTTTTCGTTTGTGAACGGTTCGCAAATGGACGTTCCTACCATTAATTGTCCAGATTTTAAAGAAAACGTCTAACATGTTACATTTTCACATACATAACTTGGATGAACTGATGAAAGCAACATTTGAGATATGTATATAAATTTGAGTTACGTTTTCCTCTTTCAAATTTTACCGCAATAGGATTATCCAAATAAAGTTTCATAAATAAATGTTTCATGATACTTTTAGAAACAAACTGGTATCTAACCCATAACCTATTGACTATTGCTATAGACCAGGGAGCCCGTCAAACTTCCTTCTGTCATCACGGTCAAGTATAAACGGATTGGCCCTAATCGTAGCGCAGTTGCATATTTCAATGTCATTATATTCAGGTCGTAGTCAATATATCCGGTGGGTGACCGACCTATTATGCTAACAGTGACAATTGCATCTGCCGAGTTGCATATACTTTGTAGTATAAATTAAGAAATAAAACTCAAAATTTAATGAACACTATAAAGCAATATTTTTGATAAAAAATTCGAATTACCCTCAATTAATTTAAATTTATAACTAAAACTAGACTATCAAACAAAGCGTAAATTGACGCGAATACAAAATTTCAATGGTTTATTAATGTTCAATTAAGATGCGAAATATATTTTCTAACATACTTATTTTGCGTTAAATACCTGTCCCAAAATGTATATATTCTTTTTTGCATATAATACTAACGTAAGCATGTAATAATAACTACAGACTATGTGAAGGTAGTATACAATACCTTATAAAAAAAAATTCTTCAACTTTATGTATTACAAAAAATCTCTTTAGTAAAGCCTAAATCCGATTACATCTTCAATTTCCTCTTACAATTTCCTTTACAACTAGACTGTAAGATATTGTCTATAGTTTACGCGAGTAGTAGGGGAGTCTCCCCGTGACCACGGTTGCCAAACCACCCAAAACTTGCCCCCCCCATAAAAAATCTCAAAAATTTTTTTTTTTTTTTTTTTTTTTTTTTTTTTTTTTTTTTTTTTTTTTTTTTTTTTTTTTTTCCACAAAAAAGTTGTTGTGGGCCTTCCTTTAAAAAAAAAAAAAAAAAAAACCAAAAAAAAAAAAAATAAAATTTTTTTTTTTTTTTTTTTTAAAAAAAACCCCCCCCCCTGACCTTCCTTCCCTTGCCCGGGCCCCCCCCCCCCCCCCCCCCCCCCCCTTTCAAAAAAAAAAAAACAACCCCCCCCCCCCCCCCCCCCCCCCTTTTTTTTTTTTTTTTTTTTTTTTTTTTTTTTTTTTTTTAATTTTAAAAAATATTTGATTTTTTTTTTTTTTTTTTTCCCCTTTTTCAATTTTGGGTTTTTTTTTTTTTTTTTTTTTTTTTTTTTTATTTTTTTTTTGGGGGGGGTGGGGTTTTTTTTTTTTTTTTTTATTTTAATTTTTTTTTTTTGGTTTGGGGTTTGGGGCGGGGGGGGCCCTCCCGCCCCCCCCCCTTCCTTTTTTTTTTTTTTTTTTTTGGGTTTTTTGTCTCAAATAAAAAAAAAAGAGGGAAAGTTTTAATTTTTTTTTTTTTTTTTTTTTTTTTGGGTTTTTTTTTTTTTTTTTTTTTTTTTTTTTTTTTTTTTTTTTTATTTTTTTTATTTGTTTATTTGATTGGTTTTTTTTGTTAGTTGTTTTGTTTATTTTTGTAAATTATTTAATATTTTTTTTTTTTTTTTTTTTTTTTTTTTTTTTTTTTTTTTTTTTTTTTTTTTTTTTTTATTATAATAATATTAATATAAATATATATATTAAAAAAAAAAGTGGGGTTGGACACATTTAAATATAACACTTTAACGGTTTAAAACGCGATATATTAGTTAAACTTATTTGAAAATTTTTTCACTTTTTCCTTTTAGCTGTTTCGGGGGGCCCCCGCCCCCCTCTTTCTGGGGGGGTTTTTTAAATCTTCCATCATACATATTTTTTGGGTTAAACCGTTTTCGCAGCATACGCAACGAAAGCCGAGAGGGGGCCCGACGTTTCCCCGTGACCACGGCTGCTGCATAGCATCCGAAACGTCGGGCCGAAGTTAAAAATCATTTTCAAATTATTGTTTAAACCGTTAAAGTGTTTTATTTAAATAGACTGTAAGATGTCTATAGTAAACAAACGTTTATAGTAAAAGTACAACGGCGTTTCTTGCACTTTCATTACATTTTTTTTATAACTAATTAATTATGTATGCTACACACGCAACTGAACGGTTGTTTCGCCGTTATTACTTGTTGATGTAATTGTTACGTTTTCATTGTCTTTGCCATGTGAATTTCCGATTACAATCCGATTTAATTAAAAACTTCTTTAAGTGGGAATCGTTGTAGATTTTCTTTGATAAATTGTAACATCCGATGTTAGGAAAGCGATTAACTAGACCTGAGTTAATAATGGCGGATGTGTCAGCGTACTCTAAATATGCCTGGTGTCTTGATCTATTTGACTTGTCTGGTGATATGTGGACTGGGTCCAGCTCATGAGGTTAGGAGTTCGTTCTTCTTTGTGTACATTCGGTATCTCGCTCTGTTATCATGCTTTTCATCAAGGAGGTAGAATAAAGCCATGAACTACTGGTGAGAATTGAAATGTTTCTTTTCTCATGTGGGATCTTTTAGCGTGGAAGGCTTAAACCGTTCTATAGGTTTAGGCCTTCCTCACGCATCTATCGGGCTGCGACAAACAGGAGAAACGAAACAGTCGGGATTTGGTGGAAACGCAAAATTATTAATCTTGAAGGCGTACTAGTTCAAGAAATTAAAAAAATATCTATGAAAGAATTACACAACACATTTAAATAAAACACTTTAACGGTTTAAAACGCGATTATTTAGTATATCTATAGTAGATAGTTAGTATTTCTTTGAATTTTCTTTATTTCTTTAAATATTCTAAAAAATGTCCACGACACTGTATGTTTGACGTCGTAAGTAAGAACTATAATGTATAAAGCTGAGGAGAATTGTCTATTTCACGTGGCCAAAGTTGCGGGTACAGCTTGCTTTTTGGCGTAAAATTTGAAAATTTGACATTAACAACGTCTTTTATACGAAGATTTCAATAATCTGAAATCACGGAATTTAACTCATCCAAATAAATAATTATCCAAAAAACACTAACGGTTTAAAATGCGAAATATATATTTGTTACTTATTTTTCCACGGGTCCGGCAAGTTGTTTTTCACACTACTTCGTCTTTCAAACCGTGTGTAAAACTCGCGTATATTACAAACACTTAAATCTCTCTCTAAATATTCTCGTGTTTCGAAGTTGCGGGCGAACGCAAGCGCATATTAAGAATAATTCTTCATTATTTAAAACTAGAACAAAAAATCACATTGCGTATTTTATTTAAGGTTACGTTACACTGCCACGGATTATAATGCATTAGTACAAAATAGTAGATAAGTACTGTTTATAGTTTACGCAAATAGTACCTATACAATGAAATAAAACAATTTTTATAATTTAAAATGCGAAATATATGAAAATTATTTTCTATTTACTAAGAGCCGTGGTCACGGGGGGACTGAAAGTAGAGGGTAGCACTGATGTCAAACGCTAGTCTACCGTAGGTAATTTTTAAAGCATAGTCTTAACGGTTTAAAAGACTTCCCGTAACCACGGCTGCTGCAAAGCATTTGAAACGTCGAGCCATAGTGAGCAAATTAAAAAATAAGTTATGTAATATATCGTTTTAAACTGTTAAAATTGTTTTTATTTACAAAAATTGTAGTTTCTTTAAATATCGTTGAATCAGTTTTCGCGGACTAAATTCACACGCTAATAACGTAGCACTGTGAATAATTGGATTTGACCTCGACCGACAATAGGGTCACCACGCCTTTGGTCTATTTAGCCCACTTAGCCACTCCCAACACGAATGAGTGAATTAATTTTTTGACATTAAAAATGCGAAACTAAGTATTGTCTGTAGTTCATGCGGTTAGTACACCTTTCAGTAAAACATCGGAAACGTCGGGCTGTAATTAAAATTATTGTTAATTAATATTTCGCGATTTGAACCGTTAAAAGCTGTTTATTTAAATAGCTATTTCGTCCAAATCTCGTAACGTCGTCTACACAATACAGAACGGGTAAACAATACTGACTGTAGAACAATTCTGTAATGTCTACCCTTCCTACCGACGGTATAATATTTAGATTTTCCAGACTAGATATCGTCCGAAAAATCTAAAACGCTTCTGGAATACAATTAAGATCCAAGTGTCTCCCCGTGACCACGGCTGCTGCAAATCATCCGAAATGTCGGGCCGTAGTTAACTTTCAAATAAGTTTAACTAATATCGCGTTTTAAACCGTTTAAGTGTCTTATTTAAATTATATCCATGTTTCAAAAAACATACAATGTTATTATGGAG